TTAGTCGCCCCCAATCCGAGACTTCGTTCAGCAAAGACTCGACTTCAGACACAAGTATGTCCCGGTACTTACAGACGTTATCCCGAGAAATATTAGCACGGCTGGTGTACAGAGCATCACCAGTGCTGTCATCTGCATAGCAATGAATGTTGCCGGTTTGCAGTATATCAATGATGTGCAGAAGAAACAGCGTTGGTGCTATCACGCAGCCTTGTGGAACACCAGCATTAATATGCTTATAATCGTTGCTTGCACCGTCTACAACGACCTTGATGCTCCGATCTGCAAGAAAGCTGGTGATCCAATTGCACAATTTCTCGGGAAGCCCATGGGAAGGGGGCTTCGAAAAAAGCGCTTTATGCCAAACCCGATCGAAGGCCTACGCAATGTCCAAACTAACGGCCAATGTCTCTCCCTTGGACTCTACTGCCGCCGCCGACCACGACGGAAACCGTATTGGCGATCACTAATCAGCTGGTTATTTTCTTCCAGAAGCGGCCCCACAGGAAGTGGACCTGGTCGAGCCCCGACGGCTCGACAAAAAATGAGATTGACTTCATTATGACGACCAGACGCCAACTGTTCAGTGATGTCTCAGTGATCGCAAGGGTGAAAACTGGCAGCGATCACCGAATGGTTAGAGGCACACTGAACCTAAACGTTAAGTTGGAGAGGTCTCGTCTAATGAAGTCAACGCTCCGTCCCCCTCGTGCTCTAATCCAGAATCCCGAAACCTTTCAGCTCGAGTTACAAAACCGCTTTCAGTGCCTAGAGGATTGCAATGCAGTGGACGATATGAATGACAAGCTCGTGGAAACTGTCCATGCGGTCGGAGCTAAGTTCTGCAAGACCCGCCGCAGAAGAACACAAAAACTCTCCGATCACACTCTTAATCTCATGGCTGTTAGACGGGAGATGAGGCTGCAATCGTCAACAGATTTGACAGCATACAGGCAACTGAACAAACGGATCTCCAAATGCATGCGGCGAGACTTACGCAACTTTAATTCTGCTCGTATTAAAGAAGCGATCGAGCGGAACCAGGGCTCCAAAGTCTTTGCCAGAGATCTGTCTGCCAGAAAGAGCCAACTGTCAAAGCTGAAGACTGAGTGTGGCAACATCGTTTCCGGGACACCTGAGATTCTGAGTGAGATTGAGAGGTTCTTTGGGCAGCTGTACACATCATCATTGGAGCCACACGCAAGTGTGAGTAACGATCCAAGAGCAAGTATTATCCGACACTATTCCGATGATATCCCGGACGTCAGTCTGAGCGAGATTAGAATGGCTCTCCACCACCTTAAAAACGGCAAGGCCCTGGGCGAGGATGGAATTACAGCGGAGCTTCTGAAAGCGGGTGGAACACCGGTACTTGAAGTCCTTCAGAAGCTCTTCAATTCCGTCCTCCATGGTGGCACTACTCCGGAGGCGTGGAGCAGAAGCGCGGTGGTCTTGTTCTTTAAGAAAGGCGACAACGCTCTCTTGAAGAACTACAGACCGATTTCCCTTCTGAGCCGCGTCTACGTGCTGTTTTCGAGTCATTACGAATCGTCTCGCACGCACTCGACGACTTCCAGCCTCCCGAACAAGCCAGTTTCCGAAAAGGCTTCAGTACCATAGACCACATACATACCCTGCGGCAGACTGTACAGAAGACCGAGGAGTACAATCTGCCACTTTGCCTGGCATATGTGGACTATGAGAAAGCCTTTGATTCCGTCGAAATTTGGGCGGTGCTACAGTCCCTTCAGCGGTGCCAAGTTGACTGTCGGTATATCGAAGTGCTGAAGTGTTTGTACAGTAGGGCTACGATGGCTATCCGAGTACGGAACCAGAGTTCGAAACCCATCCCACTGCAGAGAGGTGTAAGACAGGGTGATGTTATATCCCCGAAACTCTTCACCGCTGCGTTGGAAGACGTTTTCAAGCTACTGAACTGGAAAGGATACGGTATTAACATCAATGGCGTGTACATCACTCACCTTCGATTTGCCACCTTAGCACTATGCTCAATGACCTCAATGGTGTCTCCCAACGGATAGGTCTTAAGATGAACATGGACAAAACAAAGATCATGTTGAATGTCCATGTCACCCCTATGCCAGTAGTTGTTGGGAGCACTATGCTCGAAGTTGTTGACGAGTACGTTTACCTGGGACAAATAGTCCGACTAGGTAAGTCCAACTTCGACCGAGAGGTCAATCGACGGATTCAACTCGGCTGGGCAGCGTTCGGGAAATTACGACACATCTTCTCATCAGGTATACCTCAATCTCTGAAAACTAAAGTGTATAACCAGTGCGTGTTGCCAGTGATGACTTACGGATCTGAGACGTGGTCCTTCACCGTTGGCCGTATGAGGACGCTCAAGGTCGCTCATCGAGCTATGGAGAGGGCTATGCTCTATATGCGATACTCAGAAATGAGCATATCCGCAGTAAAACCAGAGTGACCGACATAGCCCAACGGATTAGTAAGCTGAAGTGGCAATGGGCCGGCCATATAGCTCAAAGAACCGATAACCGATGGGGAAGAAAGGTTCTCGAGTGGCAGCCTCGTACTGGTAGGCGTAGTGTAGGGCGACCCCCCACTAGATGGAGTGACGACCTGGTAAGACATGCAGGAAGTCGATGGGTGCAGGTGGCTCAGGACCGCGCTTTGTGGCATTACTTGGGGGAGGCCTATGTTCAGCAGTGGACTTGTGAAGGGCTGTAATGATGATGATGATGATGATGAATCAGCTGGTGATCCTCAAGGTACCTCAGAGCTGGCAGTTTACAATGGACTCTATTGTTTTGGATAACAAAGAGGTGACAGTGATGGGCCTAGTAGTTGGACGGGTCTGAGCAGTCGCCTTTTTTAGGGATCGGATCGGGTGGACGAAAGCCGTCTTCAATGATATTGGACTACGCCTAGGAAGTAGGAGTACCGGAAAAGACGCATTAAGATCGGTGCCAACTCTGGAGCACACGTCCTCAGCTCAATTGGGGGGATACCGTCAGGCCCACTCAACTTGTGGATATCCAGGGAGAGGAGTGCTTTGCGAACCGAGCGCTGTGTGAACCGCACCTCCGGCATGGAGCACTCACACCGCGGAATGGTCGGCGTCATACTCTCCTAGTCATCGAGCGTCGAGTTGGACGCAAAGAAAGAGCCTAGCAGATCGGCTTTCTCCTGCATGGGCCAGTGAGTCGTCCTCCCTGTGCAGAGATAGAAGAGACGGCTGACAGAAATTCCCTTGGACAGCGTTGGCAAGAGACCTAGAATGCACGGGTTCCAGAACGAAGGCGAACTAGTTTCTCGCCAATTCTGCCTATGTGCTCTGAATTTGCCTCGGCAACGACTCTTGAAGGACCTGGAAGCGAAATTATACTACCTTTTTAGAGCGCTGGGGTTTACATCCCGGGACGTTGATGCGTCAGCCAAGGCTTGGTAGCATTCCTGCCTATAACATGATGCTATTTTACATGAGCAACCAAACCATGGCTGAGATTTGCCTCCGATGGGCACCACAGGAATAAAAGGAAGGAATAAAAAGTTCCATACGCTGAAGTACCACATCAGTAAAGGATTCAGCAACAACGTTTGGATCATCCGGCGAGAAGCAAATCCGCCCCCAAGGGTAGGATGCAAAGAAAGACCGCATCCCATCCCATTCAGCTGACCTATAGTTCCAAATACGGCGGCAGTCTGCAGAATGCAACGGCGATTTCAGCGTGAGTGGCACCACACTCCGGACAAGACAATGGTCCGATGAGCCTAAAGGGGCGTCGACGGAAATCTGATATCCGTCCGGGTGAGAGGTCAGCAGAAGGTCCAACAGGGAAGGTGCATGAACCGCCATCTGGAATCCGTGTAGGAGAAGTAACCAGTTGCGTCAGACCATATGACAAGGTAAAATCATGAACAGATCTCCTTACTCTCTCAGTCAGAAAGAGCAGAACCGGCGTCACCGTCTCGAGATTGTAGTGGACGGCGTTTAGGTTAGAATGAAGTCCCCTGCTATTGCAGAACTTCACGGATAGCGTGGCAGGGGTCGCCTTGGTCTTGTTGCTCAGCTTGCCCCGAGCAGTTGTTTTAAGCGGAATTTTGCCCCCCCCCCCCCCCCCCAGAATACGCAGGGCAGCCTGAGCACCCAAGCTCAGTAGTGGAGTAACTTGCTCGTGGATGCTCAACGAGGGATTCTCCAGGGGTGCTGTTACCCTCCTGGGGTAGATCTTCACTTAATTCCGCTACCATGTTAAGGGGGGGCGGGGAGGGTGAATTGGGCCTCCGGCCACCTACACTCCCTGGACGAAACGCGGAAGCAGAGCTTCCACTTTACACCGGTATTCTGTGAGGTCGTGGTACCAGTACCACCCCGGTTTTAGCCGGCCCATACGTGCAACAGCAAAGCTGCCCCGTGGCTCTACCACTGTTCAACTTCTTATATTCTACTTCTTTTATTTTTAATGAGACTTAAAACACTGACATTTATTAAGATACTAGTTTTATGTACTACATAACCAAAACAATTAGGCGCATGACAGCTAAATCGTCATTAGAACTAAGGAGGGAAGACTGGAACAGTGATTTGTTACTAGGGGCAGCACGGGAATAGAGGCAAGGTGCGGACGCCAAAACCGCATTCCTGTCTTGCGCCTAATTGTTTTAGGGAAGTTGTATGTTAAATGTTGCATACATTTAACATACAACTTCCCTAAAACAATTAATTAACAAACAAATTATTAGTACTCAGATCCAGTTTTGCGATTGTTTCAAATCATTTTCTCCGCAATATACTCTAAATTTATTGCATAAGCATTAACCACTAGCACATTTAGTTAGGATAAATGAATGGATATGTGTTCGCATATAGGTTTTATTAATATTATAGTTGGCTAGAAAGACATCATCAGCATTTATTTGTAATTTTCTGTTTTGTATTGCTCATGTAAAAATGATAAACAAAGAAAAACTTAATTTATTATCTAGTAAGTAACAACATACTAAAAAAATGACTAGTTTTTCTCTAAAGATGGCGAAACATTCCTTCCAAGAACATTCTCTTGATATTTTAGTTTCTTGACATTTGTTGGATCATTTAAAATTTCCTCTTCAGATGATAGTCTATCTACTCTCTGATCTTGGACAGACTCTGAAAGGTCAAAAAAATTATTTCATGATAGGTGTTAAAAAAATCAAATACTTTTATTTTAATAATCAACATTTAATAATAGGGCGGGGAATTACTTTATGGGATTCTATCTGAGCTCTGAAAAAATAATGTGAGATGTGACATCAATATAGATTTAATTTTTTATTTGTTTAGTGCTAATTACAGAAACAACAGAATTTTTGGGTTGAATTTAGAATCGTTTGGCAGGGACTTGGGGGAGTAAGGTGTTTTATTTGGTAGAGGTTTGGTCCCCGATTATGATAATACCACTTACATTACAAGGTAATGCACCGTTATCGAAAAAATAAATAAAAATATTGTAGCCTAAAATGCGTAAAGTATGGAAAATGATACATTTTTATTCTTAGTTTCTCTATCTGGTCTGTTATTAACTGACTTTACGGCTCTGGGTTCTAGCCCTTCTGAGAAAAAAATACAATATTACTGTGAAAGCTGGATAGCATACAAAATTTTGTGTATTGTCCGTTCATCTTAACTTGACGCGTGAGTGATTGGTAGCACTGTTTCCTTAGCCGTCATTTTTCTTTGAACTTGATCGGTTGCTATCTGTGTGCTCTTTTGCTTCTTAATTATGTAATCTTAGTTTTAAAAATTCTGAAAGTGGTTAAATTTGCTAAACGACAAACTATTCTTCCAAGTGTATGCATTTTTGTAAAAAGAAAAGGCTGAAAACAAGCTGATTTAGCCATTGCAACATGTTCGTGCCCGAATTGCCGCCATGACCGGTATATTTTTAGGGTGACCAGTTATAAAGATTTAGACTAACAACAGTTTGTAAAATGCTAAATGATATTAAAATAATTGTATGTGAAGATATATATACATATATATACATATATATATATATATATATATATATATATATATATATATATAATAAAAAGTTTTGTGAAACGAACAGATATATCTGCCTGGCGATTTAATTACTTGAATAAAATTGAAAGAATATCGAGAAGAGAGGCGGACTATAGTCTAAGTTACTGCTATTCAAGTCACAAACTAAATCATCAGACTACCATAACGACTGTTTTACCAAACCTGCCACGTAATTGTGTGATTGTGATGGACAATGCATGGTGCATTCAACACTGTTCAAACATATAAAAGCCCTAATATGGCAAGCCTCAAAGAAGATATGGTAGAGTGGCTTCAAAACAAGGGACTGTTGTTTTCACCATTTTTTTTTAAAATACCATGTATAAAGCTGAAAAATTAATTAAATCATATGGTCATAATGTTTTGCAACTGTCCCCATATCATGCGCATTTAAATCCAATTGAGGTAATGATGATCAAAAGTAATCACTTATAAAAGAATTGTTTGGCTCAATAAGCAATCAGCTTTAGAATAAAGAGTGCTCACATGTTACAAAAATTGAAGATGAGTACATAGTGAAAGATAAAATAATAGTTGAAGAAAGTGATCGCTTTTTATTGTGGATTAGCAGTGACACTGACGAAAGTGATAGTGACAATGAGCATCCAAGTAACATTAAAGAAAATATGATCACTTTACACCTTATTGATCATAATTATATAAAGTGATTCTTTTAACCCTGTCTTAATTAATTTAACTTGAATGTCCCCATTGATATATAAATTGTTTCAGAGAGTACACTATGACACTTAAAAGTCACATAAGTATAGTCATCAGCACCTCCGTAGTAACAGTTGAATTTCGAAATTAATGCCCTTACTCATACGAAATAAAGACGTTTTTAAGGCTTAACTGTTAGCCCTAATTGCGTTCGACTGTACATGCCAAGTTTGAACCCGCAACCTCGTGCTTGAGATGCATGCATACGTGCTCTTATATCCCGTTCCATAATACCTGTCCCTACATTTCGGGAACGCCATTCGCATTGAAACATGCAACACTGTAAATTACAGGGCTACCAATCGGATCACGCGTCAAGTTACGATGAACGTACAATATGTGCGACGCTCTCTGTCAAGTGTCAAATTTCATGACATATTCCCCCCTTGTTTGCTGTTCTTGCGTGAATGTGTGCTCTCCAGTGTAAAGATTATTATGGAGGTTAATACCGATATTTGTCAGTATTAATTAATATGAATATATTCGTCAAGTGGTATTATAATATTTAAACATATGAATATTACTGATATCTTAATATAACGGTTTTAGGTATCACTACTCTATTCATGTAGGTAGTAAGTTTATTTTACCAAGCAATCTTATTAGTTTTTATGCGAATGTATATGCTCGGTTTATATGCTTTGATAAATATTAATCTTATTAAATAAATGATATTGTGAGGAATTGGCATAATAATTATAATAACGCCGTGTCTGGGGGTCTCCCGCTAAATGACGTCCTCAAAAATGGATGTTGGAATTAAATAGAACGCGCAAAGGGCCGCTGCCTGGAGGTCGCCAGGGCGCGTCTGGAGCTGGCGCTGGACGCGACAGCATGCGAACCGCCAGCCGAGCGCGAGGTGCTGCACGACCACCCAGCAGCCCCTCGCATCCATCGTCCCCACCAGCTGGCTTGGTGTCGGCAGGGTCTTCGCGGGCCTAGCAATCGGCACCCGCCACTGGTCGAGTACGCCGCATGCGTTGGACAACCCAGATGAACAGCAACGCATTGCGGGCGTATTGTAGGGCGAAAGGGGGAGAAATTGGAGGTTTTTCGTACCGGGCAAGTATGCATTGACTTTTTGCTGAGCTGGAGCCATCTGTAACCGTCACCGAGCAAAACCTGGCAGACTGAGTTCGGTATATCTTGCGCTCAAATACATTTGATGTCACCGAACTCGAACGGCTACGACGTGAGGCTGTTTCTTCATCGGGTGAAAATGCTGCGGCTGAGGATGCGGCGCCACAACTTGCTGAGCAAACGGCAAATGTGGATGCCGCCGTGAATACGCCAGTTGTGGTTGATTCAAACGATGATGGAACAGTCGCCCAGGAACTGGAACTAGAGCAAATGAGGAGTACATTGGAAGATGCGATTGTGGAAACGCGCAGTACGCCTCTCGAAAATCGACCGCGACTTCCCCGCATAGCCTTAGGAAACGGAATCGGGTTGTCGTGAGGGCTCTGAACCCAATGCTGGTTTCCTATTTGGAAGCCAGCCGGGACCTTTGCGAGGACTCAATTTTTTTTGGCGCCGCACTGGCACTCTGCCGTATTATAGGCGCCAAACTTTCCACGGCTGGACGCGCTACTGGACAAAGTAGTGCTATCCTAGCCTGGAGAATAAGAATTGAAGAACGTATTCCAAAGGCTAGGGCCCTCATCGGCAGACTGATATGCTTCAGGCCAGGCAATACCAGGCCAAGGATTGTGCGCACCGTCAGGATGGCATTTGCGGAGACGGAGACGGAGCGCATAGACGACCTGAAGCAAAGAATCGCTGCTTGGGAAAAGCGGATTCGGCGATATACCAAGAGGTCGACACGGTTCAATCAAAATCATCTCTTCCAGAGTGATCAGAAGATGCTCTTTAAATCATTGTAGCGACCAATAGTAAGTGGAACGGGCCCAGCACCAAATGACGCCGACGCGGTCGCATTCTGGCGCAGCCTATGGTCGGAGTCCGTAAACCACAACGAGGGCCCTTGGACGGAAGTTGTAGCGAGTCAGTGTGCGGGTATTACGCCCATGGACCCCGTCATCATAACGCTGAATGACGTAGCTGAGGCGGTCCGTAGGGCCCCGAACTAGAAAAGTCCGGGGCTTGACGGGCTGCATCACTACTGGCTGAAGGGGTTCATGGTGTGTCACGCTGTGCTCGCCCGACAGTTTCAAAAGGCTCTCAACCAGAAGTCGCTCCCAAGCCTCTTCACTACTGGGATCACTTATTTGGTTCCTAAAGATCAGGGTGCCACAGACCCGAGCAAATACTGCACCATCACGTGTCTACCGACCATATACAAGACACTAACATCCATTTTGAGCGCGAGAATCGCTCGTCACCTGGACTCAAATCAGGTGATGTCGCGCGCTCAAAATGGATGTCGGGGCGGCGGTCGTGGAACCAAGGAACTACTCCTCATTGACGCGGTCATTGGCAAAGTGGTGAAACGCAACCGTCGGAACTTCTCCGCCTTCTGGATAGATTACAGAAAGGCATTTGACTCGGTGCCCCATACATGGCTAAAGAGGGTCCTCGAGCTGTACAAGATTGACTGTACAGTTCGAGACTTCCTCAAGCAGTGTATGGGGCAGTGGAGTACGATCCTCTGTCATCTAGGTGAGCGGATGACGGCTGCGGAAAGCCGCATAAGGATAAGAAGGGTATATTCCACGGCGAATGTCTTTCTTTGATCGTCGTCTGTCTTTGAACCCTCTCAGTACTTTACTGGAGGGCTCCGGGAGGGGATTTCAGCTTCGGTAAAGAGGTACAAAAGTGACCCACCTTTTCTATATGGATGACCTCAAATTATTCGCCTCCAATCGCTCCCATCTTATGGAATTGCTAAACATCACTTGTGAATTTAGCAATTCTATTAGAATGGAGCTGGGGACGGATAAGTGTGCGGTCCTCCATGTTGAAAGGGGAAGGGCTGCTAACTCTGAGGGCATAGACTAATCTATGCCCGTCAACTTAAGGACCCTTTTCGAGGCTGAAACATGATACCTGGGTATGTCACAGAACATCGGTATCGATGAGGCTGGTATGAAACAGTCAGTTTGCGACGTGTTTTATGCACGCTTGACCAAAGTGCTTAACAGCCTTTTGTCCGGTGTGAATAAGACACATGCATATAACGGTTGGGTCATGCCTGTCCTCATGTATACCTTTGGCATACTCAGGTGGAGTCAGACTGAACTTAATGCCCTGGATAGAAAAGTCCGCACTACAATGACGTCCCATAGGATGCATCATCCGAGATCGTCGGTAATGAGGCTGTACTTGCCGCGAAAACATGGTGGGCGTGGCTTCCTAAGCGCGCTCACCATGCATAATCGCGAAGTGTGCAGCCTCCGTCATTACTTCCTGGCGAGATCGGATGATCCACTCTATAATGACGTCATTTCTAGTGATAAAGGACTTACCCCTCTATCCTTAGCCAACGAGCAATGGCAAGACCCGGCAGTACAGAGCATTTCCGACCGGGAAACCGTATGGAAGGAGAAGATGCTCCACGGGAGGTACTACAGGGCTCTACATGAACCCCACGTAGATACAGCCGCCTCCCTCAACTGGCTACGTTTCGGTGACCTCTTCGGGGAAACCGAGGGTTTTGTCTGTGCAATACAGGATCAGGTTATTAAGACCAACAACTATCGGAGATACATCCTAAAGGATGGCACTGTCGACGTCTGTCGAGCTTGTCGCCATCCGTTTAGGCATGTCATCTCCGGTTGTTCGGCGCTTTCTAACTCTGAGTACTTGCACAGGCACAACCTTGTAGCCAGAATTCTACACCAGAAGCTCGCTCTGAAATACGGTCTCGTGGACCGAAAATTGCCGTATTACAAGTACTTGCCGAAAGCCGTGCTCGAAAATGACCGCGCCAGGCTCTACTGGGACCGGGCCATCATCACAGACAGGACTATTCTTGCGAATAAGCCTGATATTGTGCTGATGGACCGGGCACAGTCAAGGATATTTTTGGTCGACATTACCATTCCGTATGACGAGAACCTCGTGAAAGCCGAAACAGATAAACGAACAAAATGTCTGGACCTCGCTTACGAGGTGACCGACATGTGGGGTGGTATGCCGGCCGAAATTATTCCTGTAGTCGTCTCTGCGAATGGGCTAATCCCAGTCAGCCTCTCGGGTCATCTGAGGCGACTGGGACTCCGTGACGGACCGCTCCGGGCTCAAATGCAGAAGGCGGTGCACCTCGATACCGCCCGCATTGTCCTCCGGTTTCTTTCCCTTTCCCCCTAACCCTCGGCCGTTTGGTCTCCCCTGCCGAGGGCTCCCATCTGGTTGGATCTTATTTATTTATGTAGTTTTTGTATTTATTTTATTTTATTGATATTTATGTATATATACATCTTTTCATTTTAATTTATAATTATATATTTATAGAACCCAACCAGGTAAGAAAATTATATAGATACTCCAATAATAATAAAATATTTATTTCGTCAAACATTAATATTACATTATATGATTAGTGATAAAAAATAAAAAAAACAAACAAAATTTTTATAAAATGTGTATATGAAAATTTTATTTTTTATTCATGTGTAAAAACATCAATTTTTTCACCTTTTCTGACGACAGACGAGTTCGTTGGTCAGAAATTAGTTCCCCAGATTTTGAAAAAATCCTTTCGCAAGGTTAGGGTACAAAAAAGAATGTTTACGCCACCAATCATTGGGGCTTGCACTCCTTGGTAACATTTTATCATTTATAAACCTTTGAACCTCAGCAATAGCTATTGCTGTTGGTGACTCCAGTGTATGAACGTCTTGTATGTCAATATCCGCCCAAATATCAATGAAATTATATGGCTTGCTGCTATCTTGATATTCCAGTTTCTGTTGATGTAGTCGGCGCTGTTGACGTTATCGTTGACCGTGATTCCTGTCTAGCATTTTCTTTATTTATTTCAATAACTGCCATTTCGACCACCCTTTTTTGGCTGCTTCGGCTGCTCTTTTATCAATAAAAAATCCCATTTTAAATCTTGGGTCGAGAAATGTAGCTATTCCGAAAGTACCGCTCATATCTATATTACTCAGTCTTGTCAGCAAGCCACGTACAATCTTACTGCATACAACTTTAGCACCGGAATGTAGTGTTTCATCGTGTGAAATTTTGTCGCAATATACATTATTTAATAATCTATTAAATATTATGACAAGACTACCTGTAAGATATTTTTCTCCACTAATCTGGACAGTAACTTGCTCTAACGGTTTTAAAACTGTGCATAAATCTGAACACAGTGTCCATTCATCGGCAATAATATTTTCAAGGCAAGTACTGCTAGCGGTCTAAGATTGCCAATGTACTTGTTACTGATTCCTTTAACAATAAAGCTCTTTCTAGTGTGGCCGAAGTAGGAAAAGGGGAGATCTCCCGCCGGGCAAGGTGTTCTGCCCGGGGAGCGGCCAACACTCCGTGTGATAGTTCGGAGCTGTTCTATATATACTGTTTATGATTCGGAATGTTAATAGTGCGATTTAGGCTTCGGTGTGTTTCACTTGTGGCGCGACGACAGCGCCGCTACACTAGCATATAAAAGGTGGAATTCCATCTGGTTGCGACATCTATTATCATTTTTTTGGTTGTGTTACATTATTATTTATTTGGTATTTAAGGAGTTTTTCGACAGCAGTGTTACTGCTCTAAACTAAACTAAACTCTGACGAAACTGCCTGAAATGAGTCACAATGTTTCTCAATTTAGTTAAAAAAAATCGACTTCCGGTATCATTAGACCATTTTTGGCTATCATATTAATTGTATGTGCAAAGTTTTTTAAATTAAGATCTTCAATGCCGTTTTGAATATTTGGAGCATTGTCAGAAACAACTAATTTAATTTTTTTTGTGAGGTTCCAGTCGTTTATGACCTCATTCAACTCCGTACTCAAATTAACTGCTGTATGCGGCCCAGACAAAATGCGACATTGTAGAAGAGCAGTTTCTAAATTAAAGTTTTTATCTATGTAGTGCGCTGTTACTGCTAAGTAGCCCTCTTGTGCTCTTGATGTCCAGCAGTCTATTGTGAGACAAGCAGAATCGACATTACTGAGTTCTTCTCTGACTTTATTTGAACAGTTGTGATATTCAGCATCTAACGATGTATTTGATACATGTTTACGACTCGGAAGCTGGTAAGCTGGGTTTAGCTTTGCTACAAATTTTCGGAAATACCCATTCTCAACTATCGAGAATGGCAGAAAATTTTAGTTTATAAAACAATAACGTTAATGAGTCATTTATTTCTTTTCTTTGTTTTGTCGATAACTTTGTAGTATTAGCAAACATTCTTAGGATTGACTGAATTTTATTAGATGCTTGCGGGTCCGAAGTTACGGTTTGTGAAGATCCAGATGGAGTAAAGTTATCTGCATGCTCAACGTCGGCGTTGGATTCAGTCACTGGTAAAGTTAGCGGCCTCGTTGGAATGACTTCCTGTTCTTGTCTTGAGTTTTGAGTAGGGACAGTTATAAAATGCTTGTTTTTTAAATGTTTATTTAAATGGGAAACAGTTCCTTTAAAACTAAATTTCGATTGGCAGATAGTACATTTTGTAAGCTTATTTTCTTCAGAATCAACTGTGAAATAATTCCATACTTCACTAACTCGAGCGCCCTGCATTTTTCTAATTTAAAGTCTTTTTATTTTATGATATAGCTAAAAATAAATGTATGCCTTTGCTTTTAATCGCTTTAACACTCAGCAACTGAACTAAACTTATTAATACACTGTTTAAGATAATTTTAATTTAGGTAATGTTCATGAATTTACGAATTACCAAATGTGTTACACCACACTGTACCCAGGAAGTCAGAAATGAATCGCATTGAACCAAAGTACACCCTT